CCATTCCTGGCTTCCCTCCTAACCATGTCCTGGCTCACCTCCAGAGCTGCCAAGTTTATGCCAGAAGCAGGAGGCAGATTTGTATGGGGCTGGAGGAAGATCTGGAGCTCTGTTAAATTTTCAGGCCCAGATGGGGCAACATGATTTGTGTGTTTATGTCAGTATGCCATACATCACAACTATCTGTGTGCTGACATCAGCTTTGATTGGACATTAATGTGCTGAACACTGCAAACTAGAAAATACATGATAGATACAGATCTATGGCAACAATGCCACATAAGCAAATGTCTCTTTGGTGTGGCGATTCACTGTGCAAAGTATTTCCCAAGATACACTGCATTAAGCCAGGAAAATATTTTGACACACTTTAAAAACAAAACCAAAATCAACATGGGCAAACAGACTACAATTTAAGAAAGCAAACCTGTTCAGAAGAGCTGAAACCAACATACTGAAGTACGTATCATTAGGCAAATACAGAATCACTGTCCCATGCTTTAATCTCTCCAGAATTAATACCAAATAGGAAAGTTTCTATTCTTAGGATTTACAGGACTGTTAATGATGAGAATACCTTAGTGACAGTTGAGCATCTTTCTATCCAAGTATTTGTAACCCATTGTTATCAAAACAAGCAAGCAAAAATGTTAGTGGACAGCAAACATTCTTTCAAGTGATAGAATATTTTTTCTCTACCAAGAGATTAGGCTAGCTTCCAGAAATCATCAGCCTTTATTTATTTATGTAGCAATTTTGTACTTCTTGCTTAAACAAATAACATCCAGAAGCCTGCTGAAGAACTGGCAAAATATGGTAATTTCTGGTCTGTGGGTTTGTAGAGGTCACTGGCTACTTCAGATTTATATTTATACTGCATTTATGTGATTGCCCCTGTAGAATAACATGACCAAAAGTTTTCATTAAAATATAGTATACTGCCTCTCTCTCCCTAGAAAGGGAAAGTCAGCTTTAATATTTCAGGGTTGAATATAATAATGAAGTTTATGGATTGATGTGTAGGCAGTGGGTTTTTTACCTCAAGTCACTTAACGTTATTCCTCAAAAAGGAAAGTTGGTATCATAATACTATTTCATCATTATCCATCATTAGACTTTGTAGGTAAAATTGAAGTTCTTTGATTCCATGGGGATAGATCATTTTGGCCTGTGCACATGTAGCGGCTTTGAAAAGAGACTGGTCCCCAGGTTTTAATGCCATCTGGCCCACAGGGTGGGGAAGGGAGGGGGTGTAAAGGTGCCATGGGATCCATGGGTTTAGGCCCCGTAACCCGAGCAGATTGGGCTGTGCAGGACAGGCCACGAGTTACTGTATGAAGCAGTCAAAAACCAGAATTCAGATTATTCTTTGATGAGAACAGGAAACGTTCAACTTTCACATCTGCTTTGTAGGCTTCTCTGTGGCTGTTGTAACATAGTATTCAAATGTGTATTCATGAAAGCAGTTGGTGTATTGATCACCTGTATGTCAGTACAATGCATAGACTTTTCTAACATATCTAGGGATTCTTCCCTTCTCTCTGCTCCTAATTACTCTATAATTTGTCATTATCAAATAGTTTACCAGTATTTAAATTCACCTTTCATAATGAGCATCAATCGTACAGTTTATGAAAGAAGTGCAGTATGTACAAAATGCTTTAAAATTAATAAAAAGTGTAAAACTGTAACTTGGAACTACAGAGCTAATTCTTCATACTTGGAATGAGTATTTGGAGGTGATTGGTCTTGATACCTCTGAAGATATGTTAGATATAGCACCTATGGCCATCAAGACCCTGGGTTTGCTGTCCAGGCAACTTTAAGATAACTACTTATCTTAAAGAAATATTTTGCTCTTTAGCACAGATTTGGGTTTGGTTGGGGTTTTTTTTTTGGTCGTTAAATACTGACATCACCAAAGCATTTAAGAACGTTTTGTCCTGCGTTACCTTTGAAGATCTCTGTTGTGACCTTTGAATGTTACTTTCTGCTAAATAACATTAAGAAAACTGCGGAAAACAGCTTATTTAAGGCACATGACAGTGCATTGTTGCACAAGAGATAAGGCATCACTTGCAAATCACAAATATACTGAGAAACAGTAATGAAACCTGAAGCTTTAGATTCATGTGTTGTGTAGAGAGAAACTTATAGAAAGAAGAATATAGGAGAAAATTCTTTGGGTTTCCATGTGGTTTGACCAAAATAAATAATCATGTGGGTTGTGCTTGATCAAAATATTAGAGGTGATACCCCAAAGTGTATTAAAAAGCAAGGTTTTCAGAACACAAACAAAAGCTGGGCATCTGACTCATAGTAGAAGTCAATGAGAGGTGCTTAAATGCCACATAGCTTGTAAATATCTCTGATGTGAGCAAATGCTTATGTTACGAACATTTAGGAAAATACACATTTAGTCCTGAGTTAGTCTGTTTATGGTTTCTGCTTTTCAGATGTATGTTTTCTTTAGACATACATTTCACGTCTTTTTTTAAAAAGAAAAAAACCCTCTAATGTAATTTCTAAGTATTGATGACCTATTTTTTCCCTGCAGTTTGTCATTGAGAAGACCAAGGCTTACTCTATGAACATTAATTACCTTTTTCATCACATAGAATGTGTATTTTGTTTCCATGTCTTACAGAATAAAGCAATTATGGAACGTGTAACAAACTTGTCAGATATGGTAGTTGGTCTTGAATCATTTATTGGCTCCGAGAGAGAAACCAATCCATTATACAAGGATTACCACGGTAAGTTCCATCTTTAGCAATGCAAAAAGTCTGCCCTGAGTGTTTCTAGGGCACTTAGCGGCTCGCCCTCCAGTTGGGTATCTGCTATAAAGTAACATTTGATTTCGGTTTAGAATATACCTTTTAAATGCTTCTCCTTGCTAACCAGTCTTGAGTTAGGAAAATTTTGAGTAAAGTGCATTAAGGCTGCAAAGGAAACATGGCAACTCCTTGCATGTTGTCAAGCCGTATTACGGAGGCATGGCTCAATCAGATGTACATCTCAACAGGCAGGCTTTGGGGAATTCACATGCAGAGGAGGCTTGGCAATCATCTGACCAGCGAGCTGAACTTGTCATGAAATCAATACTTTTGATCTGCCAAGTTGTAAATAGAGAACACGGAAAAACATATATTATAGTAAGGTGAATAAACTGCTAAATGATGTGCTGTATAAACTTTATCTAAAAATAACGTTCTATTTTTCAGCTTTAAGTTACTGCACGTATGCATTTAAAGAAACGAATGTGGATATGTGTGGCATGTAAAATATGAAACTAATTTTGGTTAAAAGTCATGTAGCATTTCAAGTGGTTTATCTTCAAAATGTGTAATGGTGTTTAATCTTGTATTTTGTTTCCCAAAGATTTTTGTTAGCTTTTGCAGCAGAACTGTTTGAATTTTAAAAGATTCGGTTGGAAGTTATGCATTGCCAAAGCAGTGAATATGAAACAGTCGTAGCTAATCTGGAGGGGTGCTCTGAGGGTGCATAAATTACAGCTATTATTATTGTGATAGTGCTGTAGTTTCCTGGAAACCTTCTAGTTGAAAGTAAACTGCTTCTCCGAAAGCTGCTGTAAACATGTGAGAATGTGGCAGTGTTTTCCATAGCGGAATATATAGAAAAAGAAGCAAAGATAGTGTTGAGACACCACGGTGTGTATGCAGGCTGTAATTAATAGATCAGAGAAGAATCTTTTTGACTACGAGAATAGTGCACGTTCCATTATCTGAAAAAAAAAAGGTGAATGAAAAAGAAACCGTGAACAAAAGCTAGGATAATTTGCCTAATTATTTTTCCAACTGTATAATCGTGATGTGGCATTTGTTTATGCTAACATAATTCTGTCAATTTGATACTCCTTTTCTCAGTACTGAAGAGATCCTTTAAGACATCGTGTCTTTTAGCAGTTATTTCCTGGTTTCCGGTAAAAATGGATGCTAAATCATTTTTGGTATTGTTTAATAAAAATTATACACCAATATACATTTTTAGGTTTAGGCAACCTTAATTTAACATTCTGAAAATAGGTATTTTTAGTGGTTTTAACTCTGGTTTATGTTTGCTTAAGAATATATTTTAAGTTTATTTATTTACTGCAGATGATGGAAGATTTTGACATGACTCAGGAGAAGTTTGATTAAATTACTGCATTATTTAATAAATCCTGCATTAATAATCTTATTAAGCTGCCTGCAAATTTAAATACCTGAAAAGGCAGTACACCAACAAAAGAATGATACAGATGATCCTTAAATAAAATTTTTAGAATATTGTACATTAGCAATCCTGTTTATGCTTGCTAATCCTATATATAATAATTATGTTTTGAATTTAAAAGCCGCACAAATGTTTCTTCTGTGTCACAGGACTGGAGGCAGGGGATAGAAGGACTCATAGTGTAAACAGATTTTTCTGATCTTGTTGAAAATTTTTGTAATTAGTACCTATAAATATTATGCTTTTTAACTTATTTCACTTTTAGGAAACTTCTTGCCTTAATCTTCCTTTTAAAAAAATGAATAAAATCCTGTAGAAGAACTTGCCTTATTTTAAATCAGGGTTTTAGTGTTTGGGGGTTTTCTCACAGCTGCTGTTTTCAAGTAAGATGTCTTTTCTAAATGCTCAGTATTTTCATTTAGACGCTAGCTTTATGAATAGCAAATATAGGCCAATAATTGAGAAGCCCTGTAGAATTTTCCTGGTTTTCATATGTAGAAAATCACCCTTAGGTTGTTCAGAAACTATATTAGGCTGCACAAAAACCATCCAGCGTCCTTGTCAGAAAAAATCAGCTTGAGTTGCAGCTGACAGAATGCAGAGCTTGCAGTGCATCTAGTGCTGTTAAAAACATGTGAGCAGCTATATAAGCCTCCTGCATGAAGGAAACTTATCTCTCCTCGGATGGCAGAGGGGTTAAAATTTATCAAAAAGCGTGGTCTAAATTGGTATTTCCCAGGAACTTTTTTTAAGTCGTTTTCAGGGCGCAAAACGAAGTACTTCTCATTAGAGCTTCAGTGGTTATCGGTAACCCATAAGCCTTGTTTTGCTGGCTGCTTACTGGTGCATTTAATAAAATAAAGATCACTCAGTGGTGCCGTGGGCAGCATGCAAGGTGATAGCCATATTTGCTTACTGTAAATACAAGAGAAAATCACACACAAACCGGCTGTAGTTTTGACAAGTATTAAGATCCCTCTTTACATCTGTACTTCTGTACCAAAGTGCAATTAGTTTTCCTCGCACAAGGATTTCTGTTTATCTTATTCTGCTTGATTACTTGAGTATAATCGCACCGTTTGCTTCATTGCTCCTGGTAGTAAGCTCCAGTTTAAAAAGGGGAGGATGAGTGTGTGTAAATATACAGAATTCTGCTGTAAGACTCTAATTTATGCATCTGGATGACAGCGTTTTCTTAATTTTTTTCCCTCCTTTACTCTTTCTTTCCACAAGGTTTGGTTCATGTACACCAGATTCCTCGGCTTAATAGCTTGATCTGTGATGTGTCAGACACGAAGGACCTTGCTTTTAGATTAAAAAGGAAGCTGTTCACCATTGAGGTAAGAGAAACAGTTTTGTTTCACTATTTAGAACCCAAAAGGTGGAGCTAATCCCATCTCTTATGTTTCATTTTGTGAAATACATAAAATATGCATCAGATGTTGTAAATTCATTTCATTCTGGTTTTGCTGTTCAGAACGGCTTTATAAAATATCGTAATATGCCTTCTAATTAAAAATGTCTCATTTGCTGCACTAAATCGGTCCGTTATAAATAGTTTATTTTGGTTTAAAATGTACATAGAAAGTAGGCCACAACCTTCAATAACAAAGCGTGACATGTTTCTAAGGATGTCAGGAGCATGTTTAATTAAATGTTAATGACTTGCTCTTACTTGTGTTGGTGGGTGGGAAAGGAGTTACATGTTATTACCCCAGTAGAGGGATTTTAATGTATAATGCTGCCTAAAATTGTGTGTGGTATGAGGGATAAGTGTACTTATCAGTATTCAGAAACCATTTTCTTTGCATTACCGAAATCACCTTTCGCTCTTTTATGTCATTTTAAACACAGTATCATTTACACTAATGTCCTTAAGTAAATTCCCTACTAAATTTAAACTTTTTTCTGTGACCTTTATGCAGACAGTCCTGATAGAAGGCAGTAATACAAAAGATGTATTTCATTTTAATCTTGCTAAAGAGCAAATGAACATAGCACTATTAAGCAATTAGAGCTGATGTATTTATTAACCAAGTGATGCTTAGAGATAGAAGATGGCTTTCGGGGGTGATGTGATAGTCATCGGTACAGTCTGGGCAAATTTTTTTTTAACAAAGACATAAAACAGCCAAGCATCCCTGACAAACCATTTTGTTTAATCTCTTTTCAAATGAAAAGCTCTTAAGCAGGCCACTTGTCTTAACTGCTTGAAACCATAAAAAGAGAGAATTGCCACCAATAAATTAGCATATTTTTTACTCCATCACCAAATGATGGTCAATGTGGCTTGGCACTGCTTTGGTGTTTGGGACTTCACCCTTAAGTGACCACTTTGGCCCTTATTTGACCCTCTGCCCTTTCTAGCTGGCCACTTCATAAGGTAACTTAAGGGTTCTCTCTCTTCACTGCTCCCTCCCCTTCACAATTGCAAGTAGCCCTAACCTATAAATCATTGAAAAGGCCCTATCAAGTGACAAATTAAGGTGCCCTCCTCCTAATTAATGGTCATCAATGTCTTTAATTATCTAATCCTATTGAGAGTAGTTAATAGTTAATCAGGCAGCCAGTTCTTCATGCAGGTCATCTCTGCATGAGTGCTAGAAGTTTCTCAACTAGAGCTATCCTCTTCAGAAGCCACTTAAAGGCAAGTACGTGAAGGACAGCTTTTTTCCCAAACACTTTCTTCTTTAATGTTTCTCACTTTCTAGAGAATGTGGTTAGCGAAACTAGGCGTTGTGAAATATTAAACCATTTTAACTGCTGCTTTTGAGCACTAAGTTAGAAACAAAAAACGTGGTAGTCTGTGTTTGGTTTTAAAATACAAATGTTCTTACTGTTTTCAGAAGTGCAGAGAAGCGTGCACCCTCGTTTCACAGCATTGTAAATTCTCATCTATTATAGCTTTGAATTAGCAGCTGGAGGGACGGGAGGGAAGATTTCCTTACTCTGAATCCTGACTCAGGATATAATTTTTTTTCTGTGAGCTGTATTTGGGATTCTAATTTGTAATATAATTTGGAAGGGGAGGGAAATAAAAGCAGAAGGGGTCTGTAAAAAGAATTGAATTAGCCACGGCGCAGAAGTGTTGCCAACAGGAGTGTAGCAGAACTCTTGAAACAACCTGTTGCCCTAGACATGCGTAGATGACCCTCTTGTGTAATTTGTTCCTTCATTGCTCAGCTGCAGCCCCTTTTGAATAACTTCAGGTTTGGTTAGAGATGTGCTCTGTGTAAGCTGAACTGACACAAACTAGCCCTTGCTGAACATGTTAGATCACTGTCCTACTGTGATCTTCCTGTACACATTTCACTGATCTATAATATATATGTTCTTTGTCCTTGTACAATTAAGGGAGGTAGATTATGGCAAGGCAATGAGGTCAATAAGAAAATGGGAGCAAGGGAAAATTGAATTAAGAAGGGATGTGAATACAGTCTTCTAAAATGGGTTTCTGAAGTTGGGGTGTGATGAGTCAGCAATCAGGCTTGGTTCTGGTGGTAAAAACGTAAAGCAGCATAACTGTGTTACGGGCAACAGCTTGCTTTATACAAAGTACAGCTAAGTTTATGACTTCTTTAATATGCAGCTTAAATGTGAGATGAAAATATATTATGGGTATGTTAACCATTTTTGAAAAGCTTATGCTTAGTCACATACACAATTTAGGGTAAAAATACTGACCTCTATTTGAAATGCCACTTTAAAATCAAATTACGTAAGAAGAGTTAGAAATACACAACCTGTGATTTATGGCAAAAATTCTCCAAAAAGGGTTTTCATCGCTAGACCATTCTTTTTTTACAGCTTAAAATAAGGGCATGGGACATGGATTTTCTCATCTCTGGATTGCTCACCACTTAAATAACTCTTTATGGTTTGGCCCTCATCAGTAAAAAGCCTTAAATGTCAAATCCCTTTTATTACATTGCAGTTTTGTGGGAGGGACTCCGCCTCTTTGTAGTCTGCAGGGTCATTTAACTATTTCAGTTTTTCTTGCATCTTTTTTGCCAGAATAAGATTGACTGAAATGTGTTTTAAAGGGATTTTTTGAAAAATTCAGGATGAAACATTTTTCAATTCATATTTATGAGTGTTCATTTTCTATTCATAAATTATGAGTTAGACCCTTTCCAGGAAAACTTACATGTTGATGATAAAAGGTGCAATGGGTGTATCGAGCTTCCCCAAATCTTCACACGTTAGTTACTAGCAGTATTTTATTGCATGCAATATTACCGGCGATCTATCCTATGTGCATACCACTTTAAAGGACACGATTTTGAAGTTAGCCTGTCTAATCCTATTTCTTCCCACTTTGGAATCTTAATTAGAAGGAGATAAAAACCATCATTTGACTAAATTATTGTCTTGAATCTGTAGCAAAAGGTATAATCCGCAATTGGGCCAATTAGCGTACCCCATAGTTAGCTATGCTGAGGCAGGAAACTTGATTAGATCTGACACCAGCCTAGTTCCCACTGTTGTTTTGCCAGGTATGATGGTCAGACTTCAAAGGGCTTGAGGCATCAGCAGGGCAAGGTTTGGAGGCCAGCTTAGGTCCGGTCGTTAATCTCTCTGCTAAAACCACAGCAGCCCTCGCACAAAACAAGCTTACACGACACAATCATGCGGTATTAAAGTTTGGGTTGAGTCATGCCAATTTGCCTTTGATTTTCTGATGATTGACTAAAAGATGGCTACATGACTAGACACATACTGAAAGTTTACTGATTAGGTAAGTTCCCCAAATATTTGAAATATTTTTTGATTTCTCAGTTAAATGATATGACAACCCGTTCATCTTAATGCAACTTTTCAGCACAGTTCTTGAAGTACTTTTTGCTTGTTTGTAACTCTCAATGTAACTTTTATGAAGATTTGATAAGTTTTGTAGGAACATTATGTTCATAGTTTTATTTGATAGAACTTTCTCTTTATTGTTCTGAAGCCTCCCATATCAAAACTAAAAGAACCTGTGCCTTAATTTGTTTTTTTTCACTCCTCGAAATTTCCAAGGCAACATTGTTTGACTATGTTACTTAGGTGATTTTACAAAAACTTGCGAAAAGGGAATTTCCTCATAATTATTTTCCACCTCACCATTGAATAAAGCGCTGTTCCACGGCTGCGATTACATAAGTGTTCCTTTCTTTTGCAGTCTGATTTGTTGAAATATTGCAGTAACAGTGACATGTTTCCATTCTGAGAAAAGCCTAAGGCTGCTTTAGTATTATTCCAAATGATTGAAATTGCCATCTTGCTGACTTTCCCTTGGGCAGCTTAAGGCCTGTTTACTTTTGTATTTGTTTCACATGTTCCCTCTGAGTTTGGCTGGCAGGACATCATTACCTGGTTTGACAAGACAGTTGGAGAAGATTCATATTTGATTAACTCCCTTTTTTACTGTCTGGTCAACGTAAACCTCTGAAATTATGTGTTTAAACTTTAAACTTTTGATAAATTCAGATAAATTGTTGCAAATAGGAAAGTGCATAAGGTTGGTTTTTTAATTCCATAGTTTTGCTTTACTGCTGATTCTTTAAGTCTTCAGGTAACAGTCAGTTGTTAATAGTGTAGAGAATGATCTTTTTCTTACAAGTTGTATAATATAGTTTGTCTCATAAATACTTGTGGAATAAAAAAAAATTATTTTGATCAACACACAAGTAAGAGGCAGCTAGTATAATTTACTTTTTAATGGTGATATAACAACCATGCAAATCAGAACAAAATTTTTTGAAAGACAGCTCAATTTGAAGCTAGATGTCATATGCTGTGTAGAGAATTGCCAAACAGCAAATGTAAGTAAGTTTCCAGAGCTTAACGTGTGAGTTCAGGAGATTCTTTTCTCAGAGATGTTGCCTAACAGGAGGAGAAGAATGTCAGAGCTAGGAGTCCTGTGGCCGGAAAGTTGCTGGTTTCTGAGTGGCAGGCAGATGCAATATGGTGCTGTGGAGCACTCTGCAGTGCCTTTTTCCTAGTGGTAATTGCCAGAGTAAAAGCTTACGTCTTTGGAAGGAAACATAATCACAAAAAAGAGCAATTTTGTCTATATAGAATTTAAAATAAATGTGTGGTTCCAAAGGTATTAAAATAACTTCCTTTCTTCATCTATCAATAAAGGTCTACAAAAAAAAATTAATGATTGCCAAAATAAGCAAGATTTAATTGCAACCCCAGATATTCATGTGTGTCTAGCACTGGCATTTGGAAGAAGACTTGAAACTCGTTTAAGATGGTGAATTTGCCAGTTAAAACCAGGAAATGCGTCTTAGGTAGCTTTCATCTGAAATCTCTATTTCTACTTTTTTGTTTTTTTCATTTTATTCCTCTTCATCGCTATTTTAGACAGACTTTACTCTGTCAAATTTCTTACTTGCAAAGAAGTGCGATTAGCCACTACTATAGATTATTTCCCAAAATGTGTGGATAAGACCAGGTCAGGACTGGTGCCTGCAGTGCTTTGGTGTGGTATTAGCATAGCACACGTTTGGTCCTAAGTGACTCAGGTGCCAGAACTGTGCTCCTAGAAACATTTTGGAATTATTCATTAGATGCGTCAGGAACAGATACAGACATGATGGTTTAGGGTTGTTCGTGTGCTGTTTCTTCTGGAGGAGCAAATCAACTCTGTCACCTGTACATATGGGGTCAGCATATAGTTAAAATACGCGCACGTGCCATACGCATGCACCAACCTCTGGGTCAGTAAGAGTTAGAAAGTGACAACTGTACCTCTAACAGCATCATTTCTTATAGGCTTCTTCCAGGAAAGTTTGAAGCAGCTTTACTAATGATTCACCCTAATCCTGATTGTATTGCACTGATGCTTATAAAATTGAGTAATTTTGTAAATAAACAAACACATTTAAATTGATGAATTATCTTTGGCAAAAGAGAAAGGCAAAACATTGGTTTATTAGGATTTAAGTAAGGTGATAGTTCTATAACAATTGCTCAGTAAAACCTGGAATTGAATTCTCCTCTCCTTCGCTGAGGTAAAGTTCACATGATATATCACAAAAGCTAATATATGCTACACAAAACATGTTGTAATACTGGGAGCTTAGTCAATATACCCTCATATATAGAGAAAAGCAACACTGTACTTTAAGATCGTGCACCGGTGACACGACAAGACTTGACCCCATGTTGGGGCCTTAGAGCCTCAGAGTGACACCTGCTTTTCCCAAGCCAGAGGATATCCCAGCTGTGCCTACCTGGCTGCCAGTGCCTGGAGCACGGACAGAACTTTCCAGGTGTGCCAGGTTCAGAGGTGAGACAGAGCTTCCTGCAGTGTTACAGGAAGTGTATTCCTTTAATTTTCTAATGGAGTAAAATCATTGAGGCCTCTCATCCCTGTATTTGAGATCACAAGTCCCCTTGGGGGTTACCTGGAAAACTTCTCTTTCTCCTTAGCCTGCCTCGAACAGATAGCATCGTACCTGGAGAACTCTAGCACTGAACACTCTGCTTCAGCTCCGGGACTCCAGTGTGGGGAACTCTGCATATAAAACTAAACTTTCTGGCAAGGAGAGGTAAAACATAATAACAAAATTCAGCTGAAATTTATGCCAGTCAAACCACTGTTGCATTGATTTTTCCTGTCCATTATCCCCGTGATATCAGCAAGGACATTACCACTGGCTTATTTAAACATAGACCAAAAGATGGTAATTATAACACCATAACATTTTCTTAATCTAACATTAATAATACAGCAAAAAGATTCTCCTGCAAAACTAATTCTGTCATATTTCCAAGCTCCATTCTGCATTATTTCATCCAGTAGCCAGTTCAGGTTCTCTTTACCTGGTATGGTGTACTTCACTGAATTGTTTTGTCAGATGCTGTCAAGCCAACCTACCATTGTTAAAGAAAATCAAAGTAAATCATTTTGGCATGAGCCTTCCAGGAATAAGGCACAGAATATGAAGGGTTTGATGAAATCAAGGATTTGATTTCAATATTGTAAAAGACTGCCTGTCAAAAATGTATTACATTCTTTCAAACAATTTTGAATAAATAAACGTGTTTAAAACTGTGACAGTACAATTTAGATAAAGTTTTAGGAGATATTTTTAAATTATAATAACTTGAGGTAAAACAATACTTGCAGTGCTCCTATTTAAAAAGAAAAAGCCCTCTGAATGCTAATAGTAGATAGAGATTTCAGAACACTTGCATCTTGTGAACATGTTGAAAAATTTAATTTGAAAATATCACCTTATTGTGTAAGACTGAATAATGTCAATTAAATTATTTCGGTATTCTGAAGATGAATACAGGAAGGTACCGTTAACTTCTAGATTGCATATGAAGATTTGTAATATGCTGAAATTGATTTCATAATTAATTTTGGTTTATGAGTAGTTCGACATTATGCAAGTATAACATGAGGGCTCCATTCGGTTTTTTCAGAACTTTAATACTTATAATACGGGGCATCTGCAGTTCCTTGTCAGTAAACAGAACTCGTATATATTTTTGTTTAAACAAATCATTATGTTGTTTAGAAATATTTGTACCATAATTGTGCTGTCGCAATGGAAGAACAAGAAACAAAGCCATTAATGCAATTAAAGGTCACTTGTACATATTGTAATGGACTGCTCATTCGCTGCATCGGTGTTAAGGGTCAGTGCTGCAGCATGAAATGGATTGGCCTTGTTCAGCCTGTAAATAAATGGGTCAACTGATCTTGTATTTGCCAGCCGAGTAAGGGAGTGGACATATTCCCATTTTCTTAGTATTGGAAGATAGCTAGTCTGA